TGGCTTTGGCAGGCAGCTGCCACCCACGCAGCTCCAGGCTCCATATGCAGGCAAGGCATGGGGTTGCTTGGCTTTGACAGGGCTCGGTGGTGCCCTACAGGGATGTTTGGCAAAGGTTCAGTCAGAAGTGAGTCCCTCTTGGTCCCTCCTGTGCCCTGGCAGGGAGATGGTGGGAGGCACGATGGAGAGGAGGGTTCTCCCCCAGGGACGCTGGTGCAGGGACCAAATCTCCCAAAAAGCCATGAGGGAGACAAAGGAAAGGAAAGCAGCAGGATGAGAACATATGCAATGGGTGGCATGAAGGAGCTCTGGGGACAGGAGGGGACATTTATTAACCAGAAAGAGCAGCTCTGTCCACAGCAGGGGTGACATATGCCAGGTTGAGGTGTGCTGGGGGCTGTGTCACTCATCCTCGGGGGCCACACACATCCCCAGCCTGCTCCTCCTCCAAAGGCAGGTGTCTCCCACAGTGAAAGGCACATCTACAAAAGAACCAGCTCTTAATTGCCTCCTTCTCCTTTTGTTGTGGGGGGAAAAAAAAGAAGTAACCACAGCTTAGCTCACAGGGATCCCTTCAGATGTTGCTTTCAGGCTGGCCGAGGCTTGGGGTGTGCAGTGGCCTCTGCCCTCAGCACAGGGACAATGACAGGTCCCCAGGCTGGCCAGCAGGATGGATATGATAATTATGCAGGGATATTTTTTCTCTGCTTGGCATTGCCTGTTATTGTGCCTTTGCTATCCCAGCGTGGGACCTGGGGCAGACCCACATTATGCAGCCCGTGCAAGGGCCTTGCATGATTTATTTTTTTTTTTTAACCACTTGCTGCTTGTAATGCTTCTGGTTTTGTGTGCTCTGCAGCCCAGGGCTGAGGGAATGGGCCAAATTAGACCTGGCTCATACTGGGATGACTGGGGGTTCTCCCAGCCCTGCACCACCTCATGTTTCCAGGGGGTGGTGGGTGCACCCAGCACAGGGGCATTGGCACTGGGTTCCAATTCCAAATCAACATTACCCAGCAGAGCAGGAGCAGCATGTCTGAGCCCAGCATCCCCATCCTCCGCGCTCCCACGCCAGGTTCCCAAAACCTCCATGGGCGCCTTGCATCAAACCTGCTCCCACGCCTGCCAGAGCGAGGGGGTGGGAGGAAGGATCAGACCTTCGGTGCAAAAAAAAAAAAAAAAAATTTAAAAATTTAAAAAAAAAGGCAAGGAAAAAGTGAAAGAGAGCTGGTAGGAGCTGCAAGTGCTCTGGAGAAGAAACCCGGCGAGGCAGGGAGCCTTCTCTCACCATGGAGACGCGGCGGAGAGCGTGCGGAGGCTCCGAGCTCCGGCTCATTCGCTGCGAGTACTTTTCCGGAGCTGTTGGATGCGGATTCGGCTCTGCCAGCCCGCCCGGCTGCCCGGGAGCCCCGGCGGGGTCGGGCCGGGCGCGGCTGCTCCGCACCGAGCAGGGCTGGCACAGCTGGCACAGCTGGATGGAGCAGAACGGGGCTGCTGGGGGGCGGTGGGAGGACGAGTGTGTATAAATATTGCAGTTTGCTTATCAGGCTGGATGTTAGTCAGTCATGTATATATATTTTTTTCTTTTTATTTAATTTTTTAAAAATTTTTTAGTTGTTTCAGCCTTTTTCTCCCCTTCCTTTCAAACCAGGGCTTCATCCCCGCTGCACAAGCCGTGGGGGACATAGATTAGCAAGGTATCCTTTGTCCCCACAGAAAGCAGCTGGGGGAAGAGGAATGCTTGCAAACACATTCCGGGCTTTGGCACAGCCAAATCTGTGCCAAATCTGATACTGTGCAGAGGCTGGGCCCCCCTGCCCCACTTGGAAAAGCTGGGATACAGGGATCCACTCCTTTTTCATGGAGGGCTGTGGTGTGCCTGTGCTCATGCCACCTTCAGTGCCACGGTTTGATGTCCCTGCATGGCTGTTTTCAGGTGCTTCAGTGATCATAGAAACATAGAATATTCTGAATTGAAAGAGACACACAAGGATCATCGAGTCCAACTCCTGGTCTTGCACAGGACAGCCTCAAAGATCCCACCATGTGCCTGAGAGTGTTGTCCCAATGTTTCTTGAATTCTGTCAGGCTTGGTGCTGTGACCACTTCTGTGGGGAGCCTGTTCCAGTGCCCAGCCACCCTCTGGGTGAGGAATCTTTCTCTGACATCCAGCCTAAACCTCTCCTGACACAGCTCCATGCCATTCCCCCAGGGCTTGTCACTATGATGCTCCAGCTTGCTGCCTGGGCTATTTTGGGGCTTTCCCCCCTGCCAAGTAAATCCTCTGGCACCCAGTGAGGTTGTGAAGAGAGTGAGAGCATAAAAGCCAAACCGTCCCTGCCTCTCATGGAACGTCTTTTTTTTCCCCCACAGCTCCTGCATTTTCCTCTGGAAGTCCCTGGATGGAAAAGTGGGTGCATGCATTGCACACAGGCTGCTGAATGGAAAAGGTTGAAAAAAAAAAAGGCTTTTTTCCTCTTACTCTCTTCACAGCCTCACTGAGTGCCAGAGGCTTTTCTTAGAGGTGGAAAAAGCCCCAACATAGCCCAGGCAGCAAGCTGGAGCATCACAGTGACAGGGCCTGAGGGAACGGCATGGAGCTGTGTCAGGGGAGGTTTAGGCTGATATATTAAAGATATTAGAGAAATATAGAAATATATATAAATATATATAAATATAGAAATATAAAAATACATAGAGATATAGAAATATATAGAGATATATATAGATATTAGAGAAAGGTTCCTGACCCTGAGGGTGGCTGGGCACTGGAACAGGCTCCCCAGGGAAGTGGTCACAGCATCGAGGCTGACAGAGCTCAAGAAACATTTGGACAACACTCTCAGGCACATGGTGTGGCTCTTGGGGCTGTTCTGTGCAGGGCCAGGAGTTGGACTCAATGATCCTTGTGTGGCACTTCCAACTCAGGGTATTTTCTGTTCTGTGGGTGAGTTGGATGTGGCTGGGATTTGCCACATGGGGGGGACCAAGGGTGCTGGAAGCATCTTCATCATCACCCAGTGCCTCGGGGTGACACAGGGACCCCAAAACCGAGCCCCCCAGCTGTCAGCACGGAGCGGGCCGGGGGCTGCGGGGTGGCCAAGGGCTCCCGGGGAACTCGGGGCTGCCATTTCGCCACGGCCGTGGGGGGAGGAAGGAGGGAGACGGGACTCGACAGCTGTGCCCGGGAGAGGGAAACTTTCCGCCCGAAGCGGATACCGGGATAAATATAAACTGCTTTGGGATAGCTCTTGGCCGGGACCACCGGACAGGGCAGGGTCACCCCTGGGAACCCGGCACCGCATCCCGGCTGATCCCGGCTGACATCGCGTACCGGCTTCATCCCGGCGGATCCCGACGTCGTGTCCCGGGGGAATCCCGGCCGGTACCGGGCACTGTGTCCCGGCAGGATCCCGGCCGATACCGGGCACTGTGTCCCGGCAGGATCCCGTGCACTGTGTCCCGGGGGATCCCGGCCGGTACCGGGCACTGTGTCCCGGGACCCGCCGCACTCTCCCCGGGATGGTCTCGGAGCGGCCCGCGAGTGCCCTCCAGTGGTCCCGGGAGGAAGAGGAGGAGGAGGAGGAGGAGGAAGAGGAGGAGGAGGAAGATGATGATGAGGAGGGGAGGCCAGCGGCAGCGCCGGGGGTGGCAGCCGGGCACAGACGGGCTTTGGGGCCGCAGGAGGGGTTGCCCAGAGAAGCTGTGGCTGCCCCATCCCTGGAGGTGCTCAAGGCCAGGTTGGATGGGGCTTGGAGCAACCCGGGATAGTGGGAGGTGTCCCTGCCCAGGGCGGGGAGCGGGGCTGGATGAATTTTAAGATCCACCCCCTTAACCCATCCCTGGGTCCGTCACACCCTCAATCCTGGGGCCCTCAATTCAGGAAGGACCTTAAGGTGCTGGAGCAAGTCCAGGGAAGGATGAGCTCAGTGTCAGCCTCTTCTCCCATCCTTGACAGGATGAGAGGAAACAGCCTCAAGCTGCGGCAGAAGAGGTTTAGATTAGATATTAGGGAAGTTTTGTTATAAAATGACAATATAGTATTGGCTTTCACATTTATGTATTGGCTTTTGTGTATTATTGTTAATCACAAAGATGTTGATGTGGTGCAATTTCTATTTCATTTTTTGTAAAGTATAATCTGTGAGTTTATTTATGCACCGTATAGTTTATGTACATAGTAAATAATTTGATAAACATCTTATGTCTTAAGCTGTAGCATAATATTAAAATAGAAACTATGTGATGTTAAAATGCTTTTATGTAACTAAGAGGATGGTGTAAGATAATTAGGTAGTTCCTCGCATTTGTAGACTATTTGTTTGATAACAGTGAAACAAAAACCAGAACCTAATTTACCGACTCCTCGTTATCAGGGAGTGTAAAAACAACAGGATGGAACCGCGAGAAGAAATAAAATATATTGGTTTAATCTACAAGATGACACAAGTCAAAGGTTAAAACCAAGCAAAAGAACATCTAAACTCAAAGGAATGTGTGAATATGTATAAACTCTTATGAATATGCATGTTCCCCTGTAAGGTAATAGTATCTAAAGAACAGTGTTTTAAGCTAAGGGTGTGCTTTTGGCAGATAACCAAGCACCCCAGCGCTGGATATTATCCCTTTTATCCCTCATGAAACTTTTAAAAATTTTAAAGAGTGCATTTTGGTTTTGACAGTTTTTATACGGAGAGGGCAGTCAATCTTTGGGACAATCTGCCCAGGGCCGGCACCATCCCTGTAAGCGCTAAAAACCGCTGACATGGTTTAGTGACGAACACATTGGTGCTGCTGGGGGAAGGTTTGGGCTCGATGTCCTTGGAGGTCTTTCCCAAACCTCAGCGATTTTGGCATTTTCCTTCACGTCTCCGCCCGGATCCGCGGCAGCCCGGAACCCTCGTGCGCGGCGCGCGTTTCCCGCGGGCGGCGCGGCCGCGCGTACCGAGGCGCGGCGGGGGAGCGTGTTGCCGGGCGGACCGGGGCGGGCGCGGGCCGCCATGGCGTCGCCCCCGCTGTCGGCGGCGGGCGGGAGCGGCGGCGAGCTCAGCTCGGGCTCCGAGGCGGCGGCCACGGGCGCGGCGCTGCCGGGCCGAGACCTGTCCTCGCTCTTCGAGCAGGCGGCCGAGCGGCTCCCCTCGCTGCTGCCCGCCGCCAGCAAGGAGCAGCTGCTCTACCTGTACGCCCGCTACAAGCAGGTGAGGCGGGACCGGCCCGCGGGCTGAGCGCGGCCCCGGGCCGGGCGGGCCGGGCTGAGGGGCGACACCGGTGCGGTGCCCCGAGGGGCCGGGCCTGGGGCTCTCCCGGGGCCACGTGCCTGCGGGGCTGCGGCCCAAAATGTGGCAGCGGTGCCGAGGAGGAAAGTTGCGTCCCGGATGATGGCGGGAGCGGGGGTGTTTTCCTCCGGGACAACGCCGGCTGTGCTTGCTGTGGAGGTGGATGGAGTCCGGTGGGATAGAGCCCCGCGAAATTTGGGGGAAGAGTGGTTGGGAAGTGCCCCAGCGGGAAAGGACCTGGCGATGCTGACATGAGCCCGAGAAGGCCAAGGGCATCCTAGGCTGTATCAGCCATAGTGTGACCGGTGATAAATAATACAGAAAAGAGAAATTTTCAGTTCCAGCAGGACCGGGGCAGTGACAGACCTACTGTGCTGGGCCTGGGTGAGGCCGTATCTCAAATTCTGCGTTCAGTTTTGGGCTCCTCGATTCAGGAAGGACATTGAGGTTGTGGAGCATGTCCAGGAAAGGGATCAGAGCTGGGGAAGGGTCTGGAGCACAAATCTGGTGAAGAGGAGCTGAGGGAGCTCAGCCTGTAGTAAAGGAGGCTCGGGGGGAACTTTGTTGCTTTCTACAACCACCTGAGAGGAGGTTGTGGCCAGGTGGAGGTCGGGTTCTGCTCCCGAGTAACGTGTGCCAGGACAAAAGGAAATGTTCTGGAGCAGGTGCAGTTCAGGTTGGACTTCAGGAAGAATTCCTCACTGAAAGGGTGATCAGGCATTGGAAGGAGGGCGGTGATGGAATCACTGTTCTTAGAGGTGTTTAAAAAACAACTGGACGTGGCCCTTAGCGCTGTGGTCTGGTTGTCAAGGTGGTGATCGGTCTAAGGTGGGACTCGGTGATCTCAGAGGTCTTTTCCAAACCAAATGATTCTGTAAATCCATCACCCTGGTTGTTGTTCCTCTCACCCTCACTCACTGTGGGCGGCCCTGACGCTGCATCCTTTGAACAACAGGAACCAGACTCAAGTTCTGCCAGCAGAGGTCCAGGTTGGATATTAGGAAAAACTTCTTGCCTGAGAGAGTGGGAAAACACTGGAATGGGCTGCCCAGGGAATGATCATCCCTGGAAGTGTTCAAAAACCAAGAAGATGTGGCATTTTGCCGTATGGTTTTGGTGGGAATGGTGGTGTTTGGCCAAAGGCAGGACTGAGTGATCCTGGCGGTATTTTCCCACCTTAATGATTCTGTGGCATTGATTTGGCTTCAGCACAGTCTGTGGTGGTTGAAATTGGTGTGGAGAACCAATTTCAAAACTGAGCTGGTTGATTCTGGTTATAACTTTGAACACAACCCCCATTTCCCTTCAGTCCCTGTGAGCTATGGGATGCATCCTGTCAGAGCACACAATGTAACTTATTCCTGCTCCTGCAGGAGAACTTACATAAAACAAACCAAACAAAGCACCAGTTGCAAAGGACTGGAACAATCGCTTAACTTGGATAAACAGAAAACTCTAAGTGTTGTTACACCCGGAAGATGAAAGAGTAAAACTACAAATATAGGCTGGATGGAGCTCTGAGCAACCTGTCCTAGTGGAAGGGGTCCCTGTCCATGCCAGGGGGGTGGATCTAGGTGATCTTTCAACCCAAACCCTTCTGTGATTCTGTGGCTCAAGCGTGTGGCAAGAGGAGCTTGAGAAGTGAATCCCACTCATTTGGATGAACAGACAAAGTTGGGTGTACACATATTCCATTTGTTTCCCTCCCATATGGATTACCTGTGTCCTACTACTGCCATGTAGATAGAAGTGCTCTCAATGTTTTAGTGCAGTATTTAATTATCCTCTAAGCTGGCGGCTCCCAGGCTGTGGTTTGTGGACCAGTAATTATGTTAAAAGCAGGCTGGTCACGTGAGGTTTTGTTTTCAGACTGTGCTTAGCGCTTAAACAGGACTCCAGGTTTCTCTTTCCCTTGTAAGAAAAAGGAGGGTAGGAAAAAAAATACGAAGAGAATTTTACAATGCCCAGGATGAGAAGAAAACGGTGTCTTTTCTATATTTTTTTTGTCTGTATTCTCAGGATGCTTGTTGCAAATACCATCTTTATTTTTTGCTCTGTTTCAAATGCTTAGTGACTATCCTGGGTGGAAATGGGAAGGGATTGCTTGTTTGTCAGCTCATGATTGTGCACAGACTACAGAGGGTTTCCTGATGTTAGCTCTGTAAGACCAATAAGGAGTTTAATGCTAAAAATTGCAAAAATCAGAAGCTGTCTCACAAGAGTCAGGAAAAGCTGACAATTAACACTTTGTCAGCACGGATTTCCAGTTGCCTTTCACTGAGAAGAACAGGGCACTTCTGTGTCCTTCTCCTGTGTCCCTGACCAAGCAGGATGTGACAGCAAGTGCTTTTGTGCTCCTTGGTTTCAGGCTGTGCTTGGCTCCTGGATTTCTGTGCCTTCCCAGTTCGGAAAGGTGCCCCCCCTATTACAGAGTGCCTGGGAGTGCAGGGCTGCCACTGGCAATGGGAGAGGTTTGCTGCCACAGCCACTGCAGGATTATATGCCCTGCTACCTTTAAGTTTTGTAGCATTTTGTGCTTTAAATGAAAACAAGGGCACTTCATGCAAGTTTTCTGGATTTAATTGCAGCAGCCGTATCAGGATGCATAATGAGCTGCTAATCTATTACCCCGGTGGACAGTGGAATTGCTGGCACACAAAAGGTGCTGACTCAGATCTGTCCACTGTCCTTGATTTGGCATCCTTGTCTTTTCCCAGTTTAGTAGTTTGTGTCACTAAAGGCTTTGATTTAAGATACAGCACCATCATAAAAAAGGTGACAGTAACAGCTGAGCTCTCTGTTAAAATACTGGATATTATTTATTTCAAACTATTTGGGTATATAGGCATTTTCCTGGAATTTTATTACCTTTTATTGGAGGCCATTTCAGGATTTTATTACTTTTCTCTCTGATTTTGTTTATGTGTCAGAGACCTGAAAATAGGGGAATTGCTTAGTTGTCATCTCCAGTGAGGTTTTCAGAAGATGTTGCTGAGTTTATGACTCTGCCCCACAACAGGAGGAACAGACTAGTCATAAGGCTCTGGACTGGGAGTGATTTTTCTTTCCTTCCACTGCTTTCTGTGTGGCTTTGGGCAAATCACTAGTCTGGGCGTTGAGTGTGTAGTGGTGAAGTGAAGGGAGCGCTTGCCCATCAAGAGGAGGATGTAAAAATCTGATGTTCAGAAGACGCAGTAAGGGATGTAGCAGTGGTGATTTAGGTAGGGGAGTGGATCCAGAACTTGCTGGGAATTATTGGACTGGGAAAACTGCCCTGCCAGGAGGAGGAGGATGTGTCTATGGAAATGCTGAGTGGTGCTGGCAAGCTGGAAATCCAGTGCTGATGGCAAAACGGGGCCTGTAGTGTCTCCAAGCGTGGGCTCAAGGATATAATACCAATTCTGCATGATGTCTTACAAGTGTTTTGGAATGTCGTGCCACGAGCCTGCCCTGAACACAGGAATTTCTGCCTGCAGGTTCCAGTGTGATGGCACTGACTTGGTTGTTACCAGTGTCACTTTCTGTGTCTCTGGGATCTGCAGTCCCTTGGCCATCATGACCCTTTTTCTGTGGCTGGTGTTTGCTTGTCCTTCCTTACACCCCGTTTTCAGTCAGGGCTTTCGCATGACTTGGGGCTGAGCTGTGGGCAGGAGCAGGCAGGAATTGCTGTCTTGAAAAAGCAATTTAGCTTCCTTGGCTTGTGTACAGTGAGAGCTTAGTCCTGCTGTCCATGGAGGTTCTGTTCCTGTTATTGCTTCACAGGAAGGCTGCAAATACAATTCACCTTACAAGATTTACAGCCAGGTAGGAATATTTGGCTGGAACACCCTGTTGTATAAATATATTGGCAGAAAAATTAGCAAAGAGACATTTAACCACCACCAGGGAGGGAGAACCAGTGGTGGAGTAAGGTGTGAGGAGAATCTCAAGGTTTCTCACGGTGTGGAGCAGCAGCTGAAGGTGTTTGGGGATGGTGAGCAGCATTAACACACCTCTGAGCATCTCTCCCTCTTGTGAATGTCATTGACCTTCAGCTCTCAGGTGAAGGCCTCATCCAAGGTTTACAAATTTATTTTGGCCACAGATGGAGATGACTGCAGACACTGCCTGGATCACGTTTGTGCAGCTCAGGAGAATAGTGCCTGCAGGCAACTCTGCATGCAGAAGCAATACCAGGAAGTTTTTTATGCATTCTGGCTGTCATGTTCTTTTAATGCAGCTGATGAACTGTAAATGAGGAGAGCTGAGCATCAAGTAACCAGTCAGCACCCTAGAGACCTTCAATAATTATTTTCTGGACACAGAATGAGAAAGTCTTAATTTAAAATACTAATACAGGCTCTTGGCTTCGTGCTGGCTATGGAGTAAAACACATTTTGAGGTCCTCTAGGGAAGTAGCAGGAGAACAGAGTCCTGCACAAAATTTTGCCGTTTTTGTCAGTATTGACATGTTTAACTCCTTCCTCAGCTGTCAGGCTCAGGTGTCCTTATATATTAAATTCCTCGTTGGTTTTACCTGCATTGTGAGTCTTGCAGCAAAAAGAGAGGAGCCAAAATCTTGTGTTTTATTCTTTCCAACAAAACCACTGCAAGCCTTTTTAATGTTCCTTAAAATAGCAAGCAGGGCACAAGTGCACTTTTTTCCCCTCTTGATGGATGAAATTTAACTACTGTTCCTTGATTTGTATTACTATCAATGTTACTAAGAGTCTTCCCCAGTGCTAGAACAGCCTTTAAGTGCCAAATCTCCAGAGAGGAAACTGCTGTCGTGTTTTGATGATGGCAGTGGAAAATTAGTATTAAAACAGATTTATTTTTTTATCTATCTTGGCCAATTTCTGCAGGTTGGCTGTTGAACTAAAGAATTGCCAAGCAGGCATTTTCCATACACATAATGAATTTGCATTTTATTCCCTAGCTTGTTTTGCTTTTTAAAACAAGTGGCCCAATCCACCTCAGAGCATAGAAAAAAAACCATTTAGACTACATGAATTGTGACTGATTTATAGAACTTAACTGTTGCTAGCCTATTCTCCTATTTCTCCATGAAATGCAATATGTTGTTTTAAAGGCCAGCTAAGATGTTCTAATTTGGATGAATTGCTCACTGGGAGACAGTCAGATGTACAGAAAATTAATTTCAGTTACAGTCACTCATATCCTCTAACACTTTAAATGAAAACATAGTGTAACTAATAAATATCTCTCAGCATGGGCATGCTCTCTTTAAAGCCTGATTAATGCTTCCATCCTCAGCATAAAATCCCCACCCTGTTAAGGTGAAGAATTGTTAGTTGATTTAAGCACTTCACCTGCCTGAACACTTGAGCATATTTCATAAAACATTTGCTGGATGCAGTTTGGTTTTGCTTGGCTAACAAAACATTTCTCCAGAAGCCTTTGCCCACCTCCAGGATGTGCCTGTGTCCCCTCCCTGGGGTCCCCGTCTGTGCTGTGCCCTGCCTTGCTGTGATAACTTCTTCCCAGGAGCTGCTGCTCTGCTTCAGCTCTCATTTCTAGCCTTTCACCCATCATCCTTGCACTAAAAAAAAAATTTTACATGTGGAAAACTGCCTGAATCTCACTGACACCAAGTCTGTTTTACACTGGCTATGACACTTTTTTCCATATATCTGTCCCTGGGTTCTGGCTCGTTCCCTTTCTTCCTTGTGGTTTTTTTTAATTTCACCTCTACACACACACACATTTTAATTTCTGCCTTGCTTCTGACAGATTTTTTCATCTCTGGCACTCAGACCTTGACTTGTCTCTCATGCAGTGCTTCCTGCAGCCAGGTGCCTCGGAGCAAATTCAGGAGCTGCCTGGCATTCCTTTGCTCCAAGTTTGTCCCCTTGCCTTCCTGGGGACCTTGAAAATAATTAAGCAAAGTCTGTTTACTCGAGCTTTGTGCGGAAGCAGGTGAATTTCAGCCGTAACGAATAATCATCTCTGTAGAAACCCTAATCAACAGAATTTTTCTTTATACTGGTGGAGGATGAGGCATTTGGCTGGGTAATAAACATAACATTAGTGAGAAATCACTCACTGGTTATCCCTGTGGGTAATGCATGCAAAAGAAATGAGCTGCGCAACAAAATTGCTTCCCGTGCATGATGCAAAGAAAACCCAGGGATGCAGAGGTGCTAAAGCAGGGGTAAGATGGGGTTGGTGAAGTTGTTTCCCAAAAAAACCTTTCTTCTGGCCTTATGACACTATTACACTGAAATCATCAGAACACAGAATTTTCCTTGCACAAGTCCCCTTTGTTTTGTTCTTTTCTCTAGGTGAAACTTGGAACCTGTAACACCCCCAAGCCAGGCTTCTTTGATTTTGAGGGAAAACAGAAATGGTAAGAGGAAATCCTTGTCATTCCTAGCAATTCTGGCTCTCCTTTTTGTTGCCTCTTGTCTCATCTGTTGACAAATTATGGACCTAGGGGATGTCAGCTCACAGAGCCACCACTGAAATGGCTTTAAAATCCTTTGTTTAACAGGGAAATCTTTGCTGCTATGCCTGATGGAGATGTGAAATACCAGACTCCTGTATTTACTGTCTTCATCCAGAACTGATGTCCATACAGCAAAAATGTGAAAATAGCTGCAGCTCTGTGAACACAAAGTGTGTTCCAGCCTGGATCAGGATCCCCTGAAAGATCTTTTCACAACAGAGCTGCACTGACAGTGGCCATTCATGGCCTCAGAGAAAAGTTGACCATTTCAAGCTGAATGAAAGATGCCTTTGCAGGCCCTGAGAGGACTTTGATGAATCTGTTTGCTGTGTTCCACTGATGTCGCTATAAAAACACCTTGTGCTGTCTCTGAGGGGCTCACTGGTGTTTTGCTGTTGCTCCTAGGGAGGCTTGGAAAGCCCTGGGAGATACCAGCCCTCACCAAGCCATGCAGGAGTACATCGCTGCCGTGAAAAAACTCGACCCCAGTTGGAATCCACAGGTAGGAAACGTGGAAATGTCATTCGGAAAACAAACCAGCGTTTGTCTTCGTGAAGCTGACAATGGTTCAGCTTCTCACAGGCTTTAATTGCTGCATGGAAAACCTCATTCTGAGCAGATTAAAGTCTAAATTCGTTTTTAAAACTCTCCTTTTGTTATGACTGAAGCATGAAGAACCATCTCTTTCATTCATGATGGTCTTCATTTTACAGCGAGCGCATGCACAGGGTTGGTTTGGTTGTAGTGATCTAATTTATTTTGCTCTTATTGGTTCATGCTGTATTTAGAATGTAAAGATACTTTTTATCCTTTTCTCATCCTTCTCTTTTCAACTACTATTTAAAATGTTGATCAATAGAAAGCAATCTCCATGAAAGTGACATGAACTGAATGATCAATTCTAAAAATGTTTCCTTTTTGTTTCCATGCAGCAAATTACCAAATCTGATTATGATTAGGTACTCCAACATAACAAGTCTGTAGCTGTGTGTTACAGGGAGACTGTACTGTCATTTTAATTAATTTGTCTTTCATCTACCAGGTTTATTACTTGATTGAATCCTTAAGGATATCTCCTGTTTACAGAGTGACTTTTATACAATTTTTAAAGAGGATTGCTCTTTAGAAAAAGTATAGCTTTTGGAAATAGAGTGGAGATATTTCAGTAATAGTAAATTTCTGTAGGCATGGTAATTTCTTCACATGGTAGGAAATTTGTTCTCTGCTCCTGTGCTTTGGAAGCAAAATCTTGTGTGGGCACATTCCTATGAATCAAGAATTTGATTTTGAGTTGTCTTCTGCTGATGTTCTTGAGACTTAAGATTAATTTTTTTTTCTTCACTAATTCATTTTTCATGCCATTCATAGTGTTTTTGCAGCAAAGAAAGGTTGTCATGTAGAAAAAATCCTTTTTAATGCCCTTGGAGAAAATAGTTTTATGTGCTGTGCAGTTAGCTAAATTTGGCTGCTTTCTGGGTAAATTCTTGTCCAGGCTAAAATTCTCATACAGAAATAAAGTAATTTGTAAACATCCGTGTATAATCCTGAATGAAGTAAGTGTCAAGTGAAACACATGAATATTAATTTTTAAATGAAAAAAATAATTCAAACAAAACACTCAGTGCTTTCCTGAACAGATTTTTCAGCATGGTGAAAGGCTTAGCTTTTTTGGGTATTCACTTCCTTGCCTCAGAGAAATCCTTACTGTCAGAGTTGTGAGCTTCAGGCTAAAAAATTGTGCCAGGAAAAAGGAGCAATATGTTTTTACAAAACAAATATTTTAAAGAACCCATACAGCAAACAAAGAAAGGTTGGCAGCACTCTTCCTCTCCTCTTCCCCTAAGGTGAAGAGGTTACCTTAACAGCAAATTCTTCACAAGAATTCACCTGTCCTTATTACATCATCCTTTTAATTCCACTTTTATAGGACCAAAATGCTCTCAGGAGTCCTCTCTGGAGCTTCTCGTGCCGTTCTCCTGGTTTCCCTTCTCCCCCCCCCAAATCCACGTTCTGGAGCCACGAGAGGGAGCTCTGTTCTTTAAAATGATGGAGACGCATCTGTCAGGGGATGGAGATAAAATAGCTACTTTAGTCTTCAAATTTCAAATTGGATTTATAGAAAAGAGCTGTGGGTACATTACAAGGTGCTTCATCACTGTCATTGTGTCTCCTTTACGTGCTCATCTGCTGGGTTCCTTCAGGTTTTTCTTACGTTCCATAGATTGTGAATTAAATACTCCAAATGCTTGGTTAAAAGCAGCATAAAGTGCACGTTACAAATTTGAAAAGTTTGGCTTTCATATCATTATGAATCATAAATAGTAATTGTAGTACAACAGCCTTCAGTTTCTTATTCTGCATCCTCGTGGATTTTGCTATTTTAAAGCTTTCTCAATGTTCCCAACTTACTTTTTCTTCAGCCGTTCATCTCATCCATTAAAGTTGTTCTTTTGTGTGATTTTAAATCCTCCTCAGTCTCCTGTTCCATATATCTGCAAAAGGGCTTTATTATTTTGATCCTTTAGTAATATTTTAAGCTTAAAACTGCTTATTTTGTTTTTCATAGGTTCATTTTTCCTTCAGCAGATTTGCTGCTGTTCTGCAGCCTTCAGGCTGTTAATAAATGTTAATAAATAGAATGGAACTAAATGCAGTATTTCTTGTGCAGTCCAAATAGATCCACTTCTTTATTCCTTTATCTTGTTTCACCATTGATTCATTCTTTCATATTGAAGTTTCTTTATTATAACACTTCTAGCATCAGAGTAACCTGCTTTAATTTGGTATCTTTGTTTTGGATGGTAAAAAGAAAGAAAAAAATCAAAGTAAAAGAGTTCTGATGCAGTGAATTTGTGTCCAGAAGCAATGAGAACTCTAACAGCAGCCCAAATCTCACCTGCTGCTTCCTGTTCCTGCACTGACTTTGGAGTACCCAGACTTCATTAGGTGACAGCTGAATGTGGAGAGGCAGCAGCCTAGCTGTTCTCTTCTCCCTGAAGTTTCTGTGCCATTTTTGACAGAATCTTTTTGACAGTATCATTGTTTTCAATGTGGTTTCGTGGTTTTTTTCACCCTTGCTGCCTGCAGGTTGTCCCATAGTTCTGGCTAATCTTCATTTTCTGAGCTTTGTCTAAAACCTGGGAAGAAATGATCATACTGCAGTTACTTTCAGCAATTTTATTTGCTGGAAAATCCTTAAAATTAACAAGTAACCTCAAGGATATTTGAGGTGAGGTCCATTGTCTTTACATCCATGAAGCCAGGGAATCTCATGGCTGTATTTGTCTAGAACCAGTAATCACAAATGCCTTTCAGGATGTTTTGCAATTCAGCCCTTCTCTGTTGGCATGGTCTTACTACGTGTTGTGGGTTGTTTTGTTCCTTTTCCCAAGAACAGCTGTTAGTAGGAGGTCAGGAATATTCTTTTCCATGCTGTCTCCATTCTCCTCTTGATGCAGTCTTCCTTCGTCATCTTCTACCTTTTAGCACATCTTTTGTTTCTTGTGAGTCATTCCTTTCAGTCTGAAGTTCCAGGCAGTGGAAAGGTAATTGCTTGGACCAGCTCAGCTCTATTTGCATATTTCAGAGACATCACCTGTCCTTCAAGTCTATTCACTCTTCCTTCAGAGCAGAGAATAATTTATGAAGCCATTCTTTTGCATTCTTCAGCCTGAAACAGAAACATTTCATGCCATCAACACCTCCCACTGCTTCTGGACCTCTACAAAGGAAGATGTGTCCCCGCTGCTTCTCTCCTCCTATGTTCACCTGTCCTCTTCCTGCTTTACTGGCAGTAAATGGAGCTTTACTGGCAATAAATGGCAGTAAAAATCTGCTTTTGGTGGCTTTGGCTGGCATGAGCGAGGTGATGACACTCACCTGCCCTCCCTTCCAGCCACCACATGTGTGTCCCTCTGGCTCTGCATTCCCACTGCAGCCTCAGCACTGGGCTCAGGGATTTGGGGAGTGTCACCTTCAGAAGATGGGTGTCAGGCACCTTCATGCAGTCACTTTGTTCTCACCTACATTGCTGCATGATCGGGCACTTCAGTGCGTGGTAGTGACTGTTTGCAGTCCCCCACACATTCCAAAATCCTCATCTCTCTCGTGTCTTGGATATCACAAATCCCCACTGGCTTCAAGCATCCAGGTTTTTCAAACCCAAAGAAGCAGAAACAGGCCAGCACTTCTTTTCTCAGTGGAGTTGAACACATCCCTTCCACCAAAATCCTGTTGGAGGTGTGACACGACACTGCAGCGGGGTGGCCGGGAGCTGTTATTGATCCGTTCTTGTAACGAGATGGTTATATGGCACAGCTCAAACAATAAAAATAAATAATAAAAAAAGCATCCAGATTTGCTCAGCACATTTAGCCTTCCATTTGCTGATTGCAATTTTGGCATCGCTCGGTTCTAAATATTTCCTTTTCCTATTTCTTATATTGCGTATTTACCAGTTCCAATCTGAACAGCTTGTCACTACTAACTTCAGTGGCATCCTTTCCTAAACACTTAAATGCCTCTTCCTATTTGGTTTGAGTGCTGAAACTCACAGGAGGACTTGAAGATTTTCTATTTATATATCAAAGTTTAAAAAATTGGCATTTTAACTTGTTTGACTCGGCTTGACCAATAATGCGGTTAGTAAAATTTCTGCTGTGTAATGAGGAAAGTTGGAGATCAGGGATCTGAAGAGCAGAGACTTCTCTCTAAGGGAAAGAGAGCTCCACCTGAAAGAAAATAGGCATTTACAAAATATTTTTTTAGGCTTTTAAAGGTGTGAAGTCCCAGTTCTGATGTTTACAGGGGAGAAAGTTGCTGTGTTTTTTTTAAGTACTGTTCTGTGCCTTGTTTGAGTAGGGCAGGATTTAATTCTCTTTACTCTGGCCCAAATAGTGAATGGGAATAAAATCTCTCCTTTGGTGGGTTGATGTAGGAGCACCAGTTCATGCCAGGAGAGGACCCTTGGGGGAACAAAAAGGCTCATGAAACAGAAAACAAACTTCAGAGTGAATAAAATAGTAAATTCACGATTGCTGCAGGCTCAGAGCAGTCCAGTAAGCTGGAAAACCTTCAGGAGTAAAACAGATGGATTTGTCCATTGGATGTTTTTGCAGGAAGTACTGCAGGGGGCAATATTTGATAAGGTGGGTGGCCAGGTACCCTGTGCCCAGGGCTGGGCTCCATCCCTTCTGCCTTCTGGTGAAATAACCTTTCTCTGTCACATTTATATGCAATAAGCAGGTTGAAACTAAAATGTGGAGAAGAGAATTTGCAGTTCAGGGATAACAGTGAAAAGCAGGAGAAATAATTCCCAGATTTGCAGAAGAGCTGAGGTCTATGTGCTTTTGGCAGGTTGTACCAGGTGGTAACTGAATTATTTTAACAATTTATTTAAATTGATGAGCCTCTTGTATTTAAGTAAGCTTTCCAAGGCAACTTAGAATCTCTGTAGTGTAGGATCTCCAAGAGAACTGAAAAATTTCTGTAATGACTCAAATA